CTGCTCCCGGGCACACAGCACCCTGACATACCAACTGCTCCCGGGCACACAGCACCCTGACATACCGACTGTGCCCAGGAACACAGCACCCTGACATACCGACTGCGCCCGGGCACACAGCACTCAGGCACCCAGCTCATGCTCTGTCTTGGTTCGAGTACCGCAGAAGCAAGCTCTCAGGTGGGCGCCAGCAGCCCGGTAAAGTGATGCTGGCACTGGCAGGTGAACACCTGGCTGTTGTGCACTGAAAAGGCAAGCGACAACGGGAAATGGCAGAGCACCGGAGCGCCTCCACATCAGTGAACGCTGGTTGAATCCCAGCCTCAGTGACAGCTGTTGAGTGTATGGACGAGATGGTCCTACCAACTAGCACCCAAAGAGAAGAGGCTGAAGCCGCTCTGCACAGCTCCTCCCGGCGGCTCCCATCCTCCGTCGCCCCCTCCCCGTCATGCTTCGCTCCATGTTACATCTCCTGGATTCTGCTGTCAAGCCTGTCATAACCAGGTTTCACGGGGTGGACAGAGGGAGGAGGGGGGACCCCCTTTCCCCAGTACAAAACACCAAGTGCCCCTGGCCGAACAGACGGGACCTCGGAGGGAGGCCAGTGGGACCCAGGCTCTGTCCCCAGGGTACTCTTCTTCCAGGCGAGGTTCTTCCAACATTGGCAGCAGGGCTTTATAGAAGCATGGTCTGTGATATTAACTTGTGTGCTAAGACCAATATTTTAAAAACTATTCGTATGCATTGTATATGGAGAAAGTAAATAGTGTTTGTGAAGCTTTGTTTAGGGGGATGATGTGTGAATATAAGGATTGCCAATACTGCTCAGTAGCTGCCCTCACTCTTCTCTTGCTTTGCACGTTCACTTGTCCATGCGCACAGAGGCTCTGTGAGCTGGGCGCTGGCATCCCCTCCATCCCACAGCTGAGGAAACTGACGGGCAGGGAGGTTAACTGCACGTGGTCAGCTGGGAGCTTGGAGTCAGCTGGCTCCAAGCTCCAGGTTGAATGTACCCAGATAGGCCCCCTCCCTTCTCTGAACCTCCGTTTCCTTGTCTGTCAGTGAGTGTAACCCTAGGGACTTCCCAACACGGACGCTGTGAGCGGTCAGCAGGGCACACGCTCGAGGATGGGCACTGCTGCTTTAGACCCCCCTGCAGCACTGCCCTGTGCCCCCGCCTCCTGGACCCCAGTGGCAGACAGGGCGAGGCCTCCTCCGGGCTGAGCTAGTATCAGCAAGCACATTCAAAAAAAAATTTACAGAACACAAAGAGAAAGGACATAGGGACAGCCAAAGTCCCAATTCCCCTAACTCTCCAGGCACACGTGGTGGTTAGGAAGGGCCCACCATGCCCTCGGGAGCAGCAGACCCTGCACGTCAGTGCAGCTGGCCTCTGGCCAGGGCGGGGGCCACTTCTCCCCACACCCGTCCTCATAGCTGCTCCTCATCACATCGACTCCAGTGCCATCGCTCCCCTCCCTCGAGGCTGCTCTGCTTCTGCATCTGGCTTCATTCATAAGCAAATGCCAACTCACGCAGATCCAGAGCTCCTAGTCAGCAGAAAGCTCTGGGCAAATATCAGCAATCATTAATAATCATTAATGAGAATTACAATGGGCAGGTCTCTCTTGAGAGTGGGCGGCCAGTGGGCACAGGGAGCTGTGGCTGACCCATCCCCCCCCCCCGCCCCGCCCTGCCGCTCTTTATCACAGTCTGGGCTGTGGCTGCTTCTGTGTGGTTGGGACAGTCCATGTGGTTCTGGGACAGACCTGTCTCCTCTACAAGGTGTGGCTCTGATGGACAGGTGGCAATAGTGTTTCCAAGTTTAGGGTGTGGCTGGGTGAGCTGGTATCTAGAATTGGCTAGCATCCCACCATCTTTCTCTAAGCCTTGCAAGGAAGACGCATGAACTGGGGGGTCTGTGTGGTCAATGTGAGCCCTGGCTCCTCCTCTTTCAAGCTGTGGGACCCTGGACCAGTCACCTCCTGCTCTGAATCTCAGTTTTCTCATCGGCAAAATAGGCATAACAGTGCTGATCTCACAGGCCATTATGGGGCTTATATGGACTAACATGTGGTGCAGGCAGTGCAACCGATACAGAGGGGTCACAGGTTTCTGTGGCAACCCCAGCCCTGTTGCGTTGGCCAGGCCTGCCCAGGGAATGACAAGCAAATGCATGCCGTCCTGGTGGTGATGCCGAGGGGTGTGGGGCTCTGAAGCTGTAAAATGCCTGGGAGCAGAGGTCCTTCCTGACCTGCACCTCTGGCCATGGTGCTGAACCATTGGACATGTGGGCAATGTTGCTGCCCTACCCAGGCGCCCCATCCAACCATTCCAGGCAGCTAGAGCCAGGTGAAAGGCAAGTGTCAGGAAGGATGGGAGAGCAGGGGAAATACAGAGAGCCAGAAGTAGAACAGGAAAGAGAGACACAGAGAGATAGAGGCAGAGAGAGATATAGTGGCAGAGACAGAGAGATAGTATCAGAGAGCGACATAGAGAGATAGGCAGAGACAGAGAGATAGTATCAGAGAGTGACATAGAGAGATAGTGGCAGAGAGAGACATAGAGAGATAGTGGCAGAGAGAGACAGACAGAGGAGGGCTGAGAATCAGACAAGGGGGCCTTCAGTGACTTGTCACCAGGACAGAAGAGGAACTCCTGTGTTGATGTCA